TCAGTGAAAGAAGTGGTGATTCGCTTTACTCGAACCTAGAGTGTGCTTCTTGTTTTGTCAGCTGCCAAAGTCATACGCATTATCATTCCATGAATAAATTTGTTCAACTTTAGGGCATTACTGTTTTAAAACAAACAGACTTGAAGGAAGAGGATAACTATTTTTAATATCAGCGTACGCGTGTTACTGAAACAATTCTTCGTTTGAAAATTTAAGAATGAATCAAATTTTTCTTCGCTAAATATATATTAACTAAGTCTTATTTTGTATTTAGTTTGTACAATCTCGAATTTTAGTTTTCAGTTTAGTTTGCAAAGCAATTCTCGAATTTTAGTTAGCGGATTGTTGCAAATATAATTTGCGCACATCTATGATGCATGCACAAAACCAAATAAAGATCAGGAATAATGGACTATGAAGTAAGATTAAACCTAATTCATAGTTAAAAGAGAAAGCATGCTTTATCTTTAAATATAGTGAACAAGCTTAATTTAGTGACTTGTCTTTGTAAAGAAAATTACTAAAGCATAGTATTTATGGCAGATTGTAAAAGGCAGAAAAAGCTGCATGCCCATGAAATGTAAAGACATAAAATGCTGCTGTGCTGTAATATTATAAATTAGTATCATCTGATTTTTTTTTTTTTTTTTTTGCAAACGATAATTAAACAAAATGTCAGGACCTTTTCACAGGGCATTAGCCAACAATGTATAAAACTGTAAAGCAGCAAAAGCACGAAATGATGGAGTTACAGAGCGCTATGTACGTCATGTCTAGGACAGCCTTATCTGCTGGCGCCTGTTAAACTTCGGATTACAATTTAACCTCTCAGAAAAGAGATTCAAATTAACAATTTTAAGAAAAGATCATAGCAATTTTTAGCCTTTCTTTTTGAATAAAAGTAGTATCTTCTTTTACCGATTCACAAAACTAAATCTTTACTTAAAATTAACTAAGAAAATTAAAATTACAGAAACAATTAAAGAACATAAGTTTAAAAACTCAGGCGCGTATTTTCTCTTTTCGTTCTTCCCATTTGAAATGATACCATTAAAAAATTGTCAAAGATAAATAAAAGATCTTATGCATCATCGATTAGCAATAATGTGCTCTCATTTCCTGATCTTTATTTGCAAAGGATAGGATTTAATCACAAACTGAAAACAACAATACTACTTCGTGATGTTAATAAGAAAAAAAAAGTGGTATTAGAGTACTTTGCTTAATCGAATATGGTAAAGAATACGAGGACAATCTGTCTAAGGAGAGGTCTTTTTAAGGAAAAGGTAAAGACTTTCAAACGAAAAATCGTTCATGCTGATGTTGCACATGGAGAAACCCAAGATAATGTCCATTTATTTTTAATATTTTAGTTTGCCTACGATGGTCACAGAAACGATAAAAATGAATTCCATATGAACGCTTTTATTACATCTTCCAAGTATAAAATATATGGATTACTTAAATTACAGCAAATCACACAAGACTTTCTGCCTAGACGGAGAGATGCCTTCGTGGAGGAATTTTTCGCGAAAATTGCGCGTATTCGCTTTACACATGGGGACTACGAAAGGTCCTATGCAGCCAGCCCGTTCGCGAGCATTGAGATGAGATCGAAGTACGAACGTTAAGCGATTTTACCACTCAGCCGTTAGTGCGCTCCATTCCAGTGTAAAAAGACTGACTATATGGTGAGACATTCTTCTACGCTACTATGTTGATTCCGTACTGGCATAACTAGTTGAACTCTGTGATTTGTCTACCTTCAACAGCGGAAAGAGCAAACACGATATTCCAATGTTAATTAAGTGGATTACTATGTACATAACACATATACATGCATATATATATTATATACCAGTAGGAATACCTTTACGTATATTAATGTGCTAGTTAATGCTGCTCTATTAATTTATTTTTGTAAAATAAAAGATAACAGGTGTATTATACGTACTTCTGTTTTGTCATCTAACTGTCATATTTTATTTTCTTTGTTGCATTATGTAGGTTACCTTCTTTGCAAATGGGCTGCATGCATCTAAAATTTTATTACATAAACTACCGCAAGAAGGAACATGCAAATACTTAGAAGAAAAGGATATAATTTACATCTACGTAAGAGAGAAGCATTTTTTTTTTTCTGTCTTGCCTTTGGCAAACAGGTGATGAAACATTTACAACCCTTTCAAGAGAACTTAAGAGAAAAAAAATTCATTAACGTCTTATACGATTAGGCATTGCAGGCTCCATTTAGAGTGATCGCCAAATACGGTCGATAAACTATCAATGGTGGTAGTCTTTCGAAGCCACGAGTAATAAAAAATGGGAGGTGATTCGCTTAATAAGATTGAGAGAATCTATTGTGAACGTTACAAAAAAAACTTCACAACCGATAAATTGCAATACGAGTTCGATTCACAACCTATACAAACATTAAACTGCTGTAAAAATTAAGCTACCGATAAGAAAAAAGTAACCCAAAATGAGCCATTAAAAGGAAGGTTTATAACTTCTTCTGAAGAAATTGGTTACCTAAACTCAGTTTATTGGCCTTGGTGAAACACATTAAGTCAGTTGAGGGCTTTTTATTTGCCAAATTTACTCAATGTATTTTTCCGCTTGGTGACCGACGGACAAGTGTCATAATCTTGCAACGAACCATCAGCAGATGCTTATTACAGAAAATGGATAATGATTTGCTCCATTTATACATTTCGAATTTAATGTGGCACTTGATAAGCAGACATTAAATAATGTATACCTTTTCATTAAGTAGGCACTTTTTGTGATCCATTAATCTGAATGGCGGATAACAATTTCAGCGATCTGTTCCCCCTTCCCGAGAGACATTAGGTAAAATTATATACTATAGGTGCTAATGAAGAGAAAAGTTGTTAAGGTCCGGCCTTAGTCTCCTAAATGTAATACCTCCTTAAGTTTCCTCGCGCTTACTAGCCTTAAGCTGTGACGAGCGAGTTATGGCCTCTGCGGAACTTAAGTACCAAATAAATGACCAAATAAAGGAACAATAACTAAAATATTAATTGATGGACTAATAACCACTTTGTTATACTATACTTAAAATAATTATAACTCAAAATTCTGCACCTTGCAGATAAATACTAATTTACAGATCTGATGATAATTTAAACCGTTTTTCGGTTTTCTACTCTGAAGGGACTACCTGCTGGCTGATTCTCACCTGTTGCAATATATAAAATTAAAATTCACTTGAAGATACTTTGTCAGGAATCCCATTTACGAAAACTTTGCTCAAACCTTAGTCTGATGTTTTGTTGCACAAGTGGCCAAGTAACCGATACGACACTCAAAAGAGCAGTTATTCAATAACTCAACTCAGATTTGTGATACTATTAGTTTTTATATTTTCGGTTATAGTTATAACAACAAATAGAAAACGAACACTTGGTAAACAGAAAGAGGAAGGCAAAACTTCAAAAGAAATTACCCAAAGATATACTAAGACTTATCATTATTGGATATGTTTCTGATCCTTTAATAGGAATACTGAATTAATAATTTTGTCCACGTATAAAGGTCATTAAATAGATATATTATTGGTACGCAGAAATGTGTTAAATCTATACACTAATGGACATGTGCCTAATCTTCTCACAGAGAAATCAATCTAAATTATTTGCCCTTGTAAATAAAATTCATTGACCTTACATGTGAAATCTGATAATTTTCCCTCAAAATTTCAGTGTTTCTTGCTACCATAGACTTTTTATCTCAAATTACACAAATACAGATTCTGATTTATCATTCCTTCGTTTGATCTGCTAGCTTAAGTAACTTCAGAGGTCAGCAAAGCATTTTAATTTCAATATACTTTTTTTTTTTTCATTCGGTATTCTTAACTTCGTAATATTATTATCGCTGCAGTCTCTGTTCAGTTTTCAATTTAAGAGTAGCAACAAGTCCAGTATTATCTTAAACTTTTCCTGGAAATAAAGTTTCAGATGATCTTGTTAATATGTTCTAAAACGAAATTTTGGTACTTCCTTGATATTTCGGCCCCTGCTATTCACACAGCGCCAAGAATTTCGATAAATCGCCAACATAAGTCGCAAATGATCGCCAAATGCCCGGCAGTCTTAACTATGGTAACTTAAGTCCGCTCGCTACGAGAAGAGTTGCGAGTAGATCCCCATTGTATTTCTAACCGCACTTTCTGTCCTTTTTGTAAAAATTTTAATAATTTTTTTCGAATGAATTCGTTGCTGCATTTTTTATTATTAAAGGCAAAGAAAGCGAGAAGTATTTGTAAGTTCTTAAATTTTTCTTTATTAAGACTTGATGATAATATTGCAGCGTTCAAATAACGGGGACTGTGATAATAAGGATTTAGTTTGGTTTATTAAGTTAATTAAAGTACATTCAGTTTATTTGATCTTTCAGACTTAATATCCATTAATAATAATGTATTTATAAGGATATAAAAATCTTCATTCCATTCATGAAAAATCGTTAGTAGAAGACACAACTTCTGCAAATGAAGAGGATTTTAAATAAATAATGCAGAGGCCTTTTATTGAAGACTAGTCCTTTAATTTTTGGAGACATTCTCACAAGAAACACAAATTTAATTGACGTCAACATAATTCAGTCTTTTAGACGTATAACTTAAAGAAAGGCTGTAAATAAGATGGAAAATAATAAAAATTGTAACAAATGTAAGTTCGCAAGATCCTGAGAAATTATCTTTATTGCGAAAGTTTCTGGGTTAGAAATGTAAGTTTTTTACACAGAAACGCACACTGCAGAATTACGGAAAGTACATTGTTTCTCAGCGACTGAATTAATACGTTCTGTGTAAGCTGCGATGACTGATTTTTCAGGAACTATAGAATCAGCCAAACTTTATGCAGGTACTGCTCATTGTTACTATACCGTATTAATCCCTTTTACTGTCTTTAAAGATGGGTAACTCGGAGAGGATATGAAAAGGAATTTACATAAGTGGTGTGATAGGTTACCTCTTTGGAGGTCATCGCCTGGAGAAAATGCGTCGTACCCGGATGGTACGGAGGCACGAGGGCAGCCAGCGTGGGTACAGGGAAGGGCCGACTTTCAGCGGTGACGTCACGCTAAAATGAAAAGAAAAACCGCAAATCAGAACCACACACCTTCACTGATAAACAATTATAACACCATTCATTCAATTCATTCTTAACCACAGTATCTTACCATATAAAAGCAAGATGTACTTTTTAATTTTGCAAAATGGATATAGTTTCTCATATTTTCATACTCTAATAAAACGATTATTAGTATTGCGCAGTATGCTTTGCAACAATTACCATATTTTATGAAAATAACAAATTTTACAACCCACCTAATTAAACCAATTTTTTTTCAAACTAAAGACTAATTTTGAATTACGAAGAAAAGCCTACTCAGTATGCTACAATGCTAATCTATATTCACTGATTTAACCAATTCAGCAATTAACCAATGTTAATTTTAGTAATTCTCATAAATGTCTTCTCCCCTTTTTGAAAGGAGAATTTTCAAAATTTTGAAGGAAAATCTAAAATCATGAATTTAAGTATTAATTCATTTGATTTCATTGAGATATATTAACATTCCGAAAATAATGCTTGAATGCGATTTCTTCTAATGTTAGTGTAAGCAGTTTTTGATACTTACAGCAAAATGAAATTCTGGTTCCCTTCAAATGTTAATTTTTTACATTTGAAAGTATTAAGTTATAAACATAACTTGACAGATATTGCAATAAGATATACATTAAATCATTCCACAAAACACACATAAGATATTTATAGAAATAGCTTATAGGATACTAAATATCCTACTTAAGCATATATATTTAAATAAGAGTAATTAATTAAAAATACTTGACATTATATATATATATATATATATGAGAAATAAAAATAAAAATCTATAGAAATCATTATGGATTGAAAACCTTCATTAAACCACTTTTTTGTTTTTTCGTTTTTTACAAGAATTTGATTTTTATCTTTGAAATGGATTCCACGTAACAAGATACATTATCTCAAAAGAAAGAATGTAAAATATGATGATCGCTTAAACATCGCGTAAACATATTTGAGCATGCGAACGTGCATGCTCAAGATATAAATACACATCTATCTATGGGGAAATTAGGTTTTTACATGACAGCATGTATTGTGCACAAGCTGTTCGAACCAAGTCAAGGATTTCTTAAGCAGCAATTCGTTTTCATCATGTCACAAAGTATGCAGGATATTTTATGGCAGAAAATCGTCGACTGGTAGAAGCTTGTAAGTGGATTATATGTAAGGTCACACAGAAGCAGTGAAACGGTCTACGTGGAGAGGATTAACTGTCACCCAAAATGTGTTTTCAAAATCTTTGAAAGCAATTTTACAGAGTTTAAGTCGATGATTGTAATGTTTTTATACAATGACCGCTACTTCTCAAGCTGACAAGCACTTTTCTAACTTCAAAGTTTTCAAAGAGATGGATAGACAGCTCTCTACAGAGTTCTCAGTGCCCTCGAATGCGATGATTTAAAAGCGCAGCTTTTTCAGAATTACGAAAATGTTATACTTAGGACTATTAATGCATGTTCGCTCTGTTATAATCTTCACAATAACTTCTTAACCTGGAGTAGTTGTTATCGACCTAGTGCCAGCGTACAGTTGGCTAATAATCTCTTCACTGATAAACCATGATTGATTTTTTTATACGAATTTTCATCTATGATTGGCTATACAAAACAAATACTCAGTTCAGCCATTAATGTTTCAGAAAATGATATCATTATACTGTTTCGGTTGGCTTTTCAGCTACTCATATGTTTTATTCGATTGAGGCAAAACACGTGAGAGCAATCTGCCTAAAAGGAAAGATACATTAGTGGAAGACTTTTTTTAAAGAAACCGACTCGTATTCACATTAGATGCGCTGAAAACTATGAAAATAACATGCAGTCAGAACTTTTACCAATGTTTTATCCGTTCGGCCGTTAGTAAGACTTCATTGATTTAAAAATGAGATCTCTGAACTTCTTCAGAAGACTTCCGCTGAAGACTGCGATAAGGCTCTTTCATTAAAAGAGTTTACTTAAGAGACTACCTGATCTTTTCACCTATTCTTTGTTATGAATACGTCAAAATCTCAGTCGTTCAGCCGCATCCTCGAACTTTCACATCTGGAGCATATGTGTACTCGTCCAACGAACTGTTTCAGGCATGTGCATCCTAGGCATTGTGTTACTGACAGTTCCAACAATGGGGGCTTTTCGACGGCCCAAGTAGATCGACCACCCCACAGTCAGTTAAAAGAAAGTGTCTATCTGATTTTGTTAAAACTGATGATATTGGCGGAAAACAAAGCAACCGATCAAATCTTTGGTTTTATTTATGTAATTAATTACGGCAAAGCACACTAGGGCTATCTGCCTAAGGGGAGGGATGCCTTCGTGGAGGACTTTCTAAGGGAACTGGCTCGTATACACGTAACACATGGGGAAAACCACGAAAACGTCCATGTAGCCAGCCCGTTCGCGGGATTCGAACTTCGGATCGAACTACCAGTGTTCAGCGACTCGGCCGCTGGTGGGCTCTCAAATCTTTGGAACATAATTATTACACGCAGCGCGCTTTAGAGAGTGGAAAAGACGTTCTTTACCAGCACACTTCATAAGTTAAAAACCTATTTTTCAATTTTCTTTTCTAGAACATAAACTACAACAAGTTGAATTCTATAAAGATATAATTCGGCAGAATTTTCCTTTTCCTTTTCCTGCTTTCTCAAATAAGCAATCATAATAATTTATAGCTTATTGCCTATTACTCATTTTGATTAAAAATATATTTATTATTTCACTGAATTATAAACAAGGCTATAATACTATTCCAATAAAAAGTTCGCCGTATTAACATTTCTCCCCCCCGAAGGGTTTTTACTTTTTATTTTTAATACGAGCATCAGCATGCATAATACTGCAAAGTAAATTATGTAAGAAGAATAAGAAATTAAGCTTCCTAATAGATTAAAAATTAACTCGGCATGAAAAATTAAGTAAAAAATACGTTGACCCTCATTATCAAAATATTGATTTTAGAAAAATTAATTTTATTCTGTATACCAGTAATTAACTCGGACAGCCATGAAACACAAATGGAACACCCACAATATTAACTAAATACCTTGTTAAAATAAAAGAAAAACACGTAACCATGTGATATGACATGAAACGTCGTCGTTAACATAATAATTTTTGACATTGGTGAAAAATTAACTTAAATTTAAATAAGCTTTGAACGGCCTTTTCTACTTAGAGACATTTATAATAATCGATGTGACAAGCTTAACGCTATCAGAAACAAGGTCATTTTCTTGGCTATCGATTGCATTTATAACATATGCGAACCGCGTTGTGGCGATTCGTTACGATTAAGTGGTTTTGGATAAGCACCTCAACTTACCTCTTTTATTTTTTCTTTAAACGGGTTTCGGCACGAGACTAGAGAAAACTTATTAGATTTTATGCAATTACTTATTAGATTTACGCCCAGTAGTCACTAGAACAACTTAGGATTCACGGTTATCTAAACGAAGTGTATGTAGTTTGCGTCCCTTTTGATAGACCACGAACAAAAGAAAACATTTTTTCAAATAATGCTTAGAGAAGATGACGATATTATTGAAATATTTTCCGTTCGTGACAAAATGAAACTTCCAAATAAATAGTAAATATCCCGCTTTAACTGAAAGGCACATTACCGAATGAGTATCAACACAAACATACATACACAGTTAATACTGAAGATTTTACTTCGTTATAATGGTATACGACAAAGCACAAAGCATGAGAGGAATATCACTTTAAGGGAAGAAATGCTTTCGTGGAGGACTTTCGAAGTAAAATTGTTTCGTATTCATGTTTCACATGGGAAAATCCTGGAAATCCTGCATGCCACTAGCCCGTTCGCAGGAATCCGAACCCGGGTCGAATTAAGAGCGATCAGCAATCTAATGCTCAAATTGTTCAGATCGTATGAACGAGAAATGACAATATGTTTCGAAATATTGCATTAAAAGAATCGCGAAACAAGACACACGAAAATAACCCTGCGTGAAACAAGGACTGAGTTTGTAACGATCAAACAAATTTCAAAATCTTCTAAATATACTTTTAAATAATTTTACATAACTTTTATGTTTTACTTATCGAATAGTAGATTCGATATCCAAAGAACAGTTTTCATTTGCTTTACTTTATAAAAATACTTAGTTGCTTATCACGTAAGGTATATCGCGAAACTTCTCTCTAACAAATATTTGTCATTTATGCAGTTCCATACATGTATTTCTCGTCCTTAGTACATTGCCATCAATTTTTTGCATCTACAAATCAAATGGGAATACAGAAATTCGCGTCTGTGTATGTAAATTTTAAATCATTTAGTATCATTCTAATCATTAATTTTCCTTCTTTTAATTAATATACCTTTAATGTATTCACCTGTTTAGTAGACGATGCAATAAATGTTTATAAATGTATTCATATATATATAATGTACCATCAGAATATGCTAACATAATGTAATTATAAATGTACCAGCATAAAAATATTTTTAATTGCTTGGAGTTACGTAGAATATTCGTGTATTTCCACGAACACTTCCGTCTCCCGCTTTACTTTTCTTTCATATTTTTGCATATCTTTTCATAAAATAAGATTTTCGAGAAAAGAAAATTGACATTAATAGCATCATCGCGTCTGCAGAGAGGCATGGCGTTCAACTTCAGCGAATAATGTTTTGACGTTCAAACTTACGTAATATCATTAAAAAAGAATTCCCATTGCCACGTCCAAGAAACAAATTAAATTAAATACACGTTTAAACCGTACATTCTGTAAATATAGCGAGAGGTATGCAATACTTTTTGTTTAGTGGAACAGACAATCATAATTTAGAACGTAACTGAGCAAGTTCGGTTTGAAAGTTCATTATAATCTTGGTCAACAAAAAATTCAAACAAAACTTATGATGTAATAGCATCTAAAAAGAAGTACCGCTTGAAAATCAAACATACCATTAAAAAACCTTCAAGCCGTGGATGC